TCCACAGTCTCTACTATGAGCTCCACAACTATTTCTGGCTCCCCAACCTCTACTAGGGACTCCACAGCCTATACTATGAGCTTCACTACTATTTCTGGCTCCCCAACCTCTACTACAGGTTCCACAACTATTTCTGGCTCCCCAACCTCTACTATGGATTCTACAACTATTTCTGGCTTTACAGCATCTACTACAAGCTCCACATCTATTTCCAGCTCCCCAGCCTCTAGTACAGGCTCCACAACTATTTCACGCTCCCTAACTTCTCCTGTGAGCTCTACAACTATTTCCGGTTCCCCATCCTCTACTATTGGCTCCACAGTCTTTACTACTGGGCACACAACCCCTTCTACAGTTTCTGTAACATCTGTCTCCTACTCCACCAACTCTACTCCTGACTCTACAACCACTGCAACAGGCTCCATGGTCTCTACCAACGACTCTCCATCTAGAACAGGCTCTCCAACTACTGGGAGAGTTCTGAGTACAAGCAGCAGTGGCCCACCAGCGAGACCTGCTCGAACTCTGAAGCCCTGGGCTATTGCTGTCATCTCTCTTGCCACAATTGTTGGGGTTGTGGGTGCTGGCGTTGGATTCTTCTATTGCTTTGTAAGTGTTCAAGTCCTGGGGAACAGGGGTAGGAGGATTTTTGTGGCTGTGGGAAAATAAAGAGGGTATAGGGAATAGTGAGTGAAAATGAGAGATGGAGAAAACTTTAGAAAGACAGTGAAATGTGATAATGTACACAGAAGACCTGAAAAACTGCAATATGAAAATGAGTTTATCTTTGTTACTATCATGCCATTGCAATACTAATAACAATTAGAAAAGGAATACCTAGACAGCCAGAGAGACAAAGAAAAGCACCTGATTCCTTCCAGAGAAGATTCTGAAAGCAATGATATAGAAGGGCATAAGCAGTTTGAGAGTTCAGACCTGTATTCTAATTCTGGCTCTGCTATTTGTTGACTGTGACCTTATACAAGTCATTTCCCTTCTCTTGTCTTTAGTTTCCTTATTCATTTCATGAGGGGGTTGGACTATATAACTAACTATATATGGTCCCTTCCAGCTCTAATTTCTGAGTTTGTGATTCTAGTCTATATTCTAGGGCTGGGGAGGGAGGAAATGAGGTTTAGGAGTTAGGGGGAGAGGTTGGAGAGGATTATAGGAGGATTCAGCTCTGAAACCAATTACTTTCTTCTGTTTTAGAGAAATATTCTGCACCTGAGAAATCCTGTCCCCATAGCCGTTTATCATCCTCATGGCCCCACCTTTGGCCTGGGCCATGGGGTAAATGGATGGAGCCATGGACTTCGACCTAGATGGGGCCATAATTGGTTCTGGAGGAGACCAGCAGCCACATCAGCTGTGATGATGAGTGAGAGACACAATGGGCCTTGATCCTCAGGACGTCTATGGCCCTGGATGGCAGGTCAGCTAGCTCCCAAAGGAAACGTGGAAATTTAAAACAAGAGAGCTTCCTTTTCCCCAACTCCAGCTTGTGGGTCCTTCTTCCCAGCACTCCTGAGCCTTATATGGCAGCTACCCCAGAAGACTATGTTTAAACTCTCTCTGTGAGAATATCCAATCTAAAAATAAATATCTTTATCATATGTGGAAGTTGGACATTTTTAGTGTCTATATCTAATCTGTCCATTAATTTAATCAACCTATTAACCAATTAAACACTTGTTATATGTCAAATACTGAGAGTACAAAGACCAAAAAAATAAAAAATACCTAGCTTCAAAGAGCTAACATATAACCAAAGTAAATACAAAACAATTTTTAGGGGAGCACTAGCAATTACAGTAATCAGTATATGTAGGAAGCATTTCAAATGAACCTCAAAGGAAGCCAAGGATTTAAAAATTTTTAATTTAATTTTTTCAATGAACAAAAATCTACCTTCTCTCCTTACCACTTTCTTGACCACTACTGAAAAATAAAGAAAAACAAAATCCAAAGCATGCTAAATCAAGGGTGCTCCCATATTGACTATGTCCAAAAGAATAAATGGCTCCTTTGACTCCCTATGTCCATCATTTCTTTCTCAGGAGATAGGCAGCATGCTTCATCATGAGCCTTCTGGAATCCTGGTTGGACGCTGTGTTGATCAGAGTTCCCAAGTCTTTCAAAGCTTGTCTTTACATATTATTGCCATTATAGAAATGGCTCTCTTTGTTCTGTTCACTTCATGCAATGATGTCCTTACATAAAGAAGCTATTATATGAACTATTTTAGTTCATGTAATACCTAGCATAAAATGCTATCTATAGATATATGTTATTAATAAACAATAAAATAATAAATAATAGCATATAAAAATAGTGCTTTAGGGCAGCTAGGTGGCACAGTGGATAGAGCACGTGCCCTGGAGTCAGGAGGACCTGAGTTCAAATTTGACCTCAGACACTTGACATTTACTAGCTGTGTGACCCTGGGCAAGTCACTTAACCCCAATTGCCTCATCAAAAAGGAAAAAAAAAAAGACAGAAAAAATAGTGCTTTAAGATTTGCAACAGTCTTTACAAATATTATCTCACTGTATCCTCACAACAATACTGGGAAATAGATGCTATTATTATCTCCATTTCTAGATGAGGAAACTGAGAATGGCAGAGGTTAAATGATTTGTTCAGGATCACACAGGTAGTAAGGGTCTGAGATAGAATTGGAGTTCAGTTCTTCTTGATACCCAAGTCCTGTGCTCTGCCATCGTGCAGGAGTGTGTTGGTAAAATCTCTCTAAAAAATAAACACAGAAAAAAATGTTCTCAGGACACACTTTAAAGTCTTATCTGAATTATTAACACTATTAATTATTAACACTATTAACATTATTAATTAATTATTAAGTCTAGACAATCGAGAAAACAATAAGTTAAGCCCTGGTTTGTAACATTTGGTTTCCAAAGTGTAAATCTCTCACTGGAAATTACAATTGGCTCTGTTCAAACTGGCTCCAGTACACCCCTGCCACTGGGCCGCCTGCCTGCTTTTATAGACAGTTAGGAGGCACAATAGATAGTTCAATTCCTGTCTCATATGCTTACTAGCTGTGTGACCTTGAGCAAGTCACTTAACCTGTCTCAGCCTCAATTTCCTCATCTGTAAAATGGAGTACCTGTACCACAGGGTTGTTGTGAGAATCTAATGAGATAATACATGTAAAGCATTTTTGCAAACCTTAAAGTCCTATATAAGTATTAGCTAATATGATTATTATATACTGATTGGTTTATATACTGTAGTACATAAGCTACTTGATTGAAAGAAATAGAAACATCTAAGTACACATTTGACACCCTTACCACTAAATTCAACTACTTTTATAAGTTGTTCACACTCTTGATCTTCCTTTCCATTTCAAGGAAATCCTCTTTCATTTGTGAAAGGGCTGCTCCCTAACTTAGTTTCTACTCTTCCTTAGGAAGGTTCTGTTAGGCTATAAGGATATAAAAAAATTTGAATTTAGGAACTTCCCAGTATAAGAATAATAGAAGAAATTGTTGAGGCACAAAGTCA